AGTACAATTACTGATAAAAACGACTTAATTACTGTAACGTGAGTATTTGTAATTTGTTACTTCACATATATATATATATATATATATATATATAATGTATATATATATATATATATATATATATAATGTATATAAATGTGTATATATACACATACATATCATCTTGATATCAAATTAAAATAATAAAAATAATTATTTTTTAAATTTACAATTAAATTCATGATTGTAAATTCATTTATTTATTTATTTATTGTGAAACCCTTGTAAATACAAATACAAATCCTTTAAATTTACTTTCTAAAATGTTTTGGTAGGAAAATATTTATTTATTTATTTGTTTGTTTGTTTGCTTGCTTATCAAAACCCTTGTAAATATAAAGACATTTAAATTTACTCTCTAAAAGTTTTGCAAGAAAAACATTTATTTTTTATTTATTTTGTCATATATGGATTTTGTTTTGTTTATTTATTTTCGAATTTTAGAATAAATTGTTTTAGAATATTTGATTAAAACTGCTAAAAAAAATACTTTTTTTATTCTGCAGTTTATTTTAAAATGTAATACAAGGTTTTGCAAAAAAGAGGCGCTGAAAAGAAGACCCTATAACATTTCTATTAACTTCTTTTTTTTTTCTTTTTTTTTGTCCCCCTCAATTTTCCATGAAATCTATGAAAACTCTTGGAAACATCCCTATATGAAACCTGTCCTTTCAGCAGGGATGAGTTTGGGTCGATTTGAAACAACTGCAGTCTAGTCAAGATCAAATGCAACAGTGCAACACTAAAGATTCATTCAGTACAGAGGATGCAGCTTTAATCCAAATACAGCCATTATGCCTCATCAGTCTCTATCTATCCGCACATGCATCTCTGGGGTTTATATCGGCCTGATGGATGCGCCAGCAAAGCACTCTGGGGTTTAACCTCGGCGCGGAGTAATCCACATTGATGAATTAGGATGGCAACTCTTCATCCCTGAGCCCAAATGAGGCATTTCGATGGAGATTTGGACAATATAAATACCATCCTTTATTCAGAGCGAGACAAACAGTAACGCAGACAAAAATGGAAGAAGACTGCATCTGAAGCTGTATTTAAGGGTTAGAGGTGCAGTCTGTAATTAGCACCCACCGGCTTTTTGCTCATTAATTCACACCTGCTAATTAATGTGTCCTCAGAGGGGCAGGGGACAGGACACGGCTGTGATTATTGTATTATTATTAGTCAGAGAAAGAAATGGTTGGCGCTTCTCAAGGGGCATTTGATGCCCATTTGTACGTCAATTGTTGCTGCTTTATAGCTGAATTGTATTTGTTTCATAAATGAAGAACTGAATTGAATCAACACAACTTGAGCTGAATAATGACACTGTTGCCACCTTTAAAGCTGCTTACACCTGAATAAAGCTTGTTTAACTTGGACACTACTATTGAACTAAACTGAATCAACACTGAATTGATTTGAGCTGAATAATGACATTTATGTTCTGTATTATCTAGATGTTTTATAGTTAAACTTAGGACACTTTTTAACATTCACACTGTTATTGAACTAAACTGAATCAACATTGAACTAAACTGAGCTGAATAATGACACTGTTGTCTTTTTAGAGCTACGTAAATTGTATTTGTTTCATAATTGAAGAACTTAATACTCTTATTTTCTTGTTTATTACTGTGAAGCTGCTTTAGTAACAGTCTTTATTGGATAAAGCGCTATATAAATGAATGAATGTGAACATCAATAGGGCTATGCAATCAATCCCACGTAATTTATATTTATATACTGTTTATTACAATTTTAACTCCTTACATTTTTATTATTTTATATACATTTAATTTATTTATGTTTTTAATCATTTTAAACATTTAGTTTTAATAATATACAGTAGTTCTATACTTTTAATAATATTATTCATTTACTCATTCCACATGATTTGATAACGCCTTCTGTTGCCAATAACAACGCAGTGTCTTTACTTACAATTATATTTGCTCTATACAATTCCACAGATTTCCCTCTACTGTAAGCAGTAAAAAAGTGTCTACACAATGAGATGAAAATGGATGGAAATCTTTTCATGAACACCCATCATTATAAACGTTGCAAAACAAAACAACAAAAAAATGAAAGGATGGTGGGTTTGTGTTTGGAGAAGCAGTTTATGAGGGGACGTTCTCTTAACCAGCGTAAGATATTTAAGCGACCACACTGCCTCTGATAGTCAGATATACAGTATAGTAATGCATGAAATTGAATCAGAGTCTGGTTCCTAAATGAAGGATCTCAGGCACTAACTGGAAGCTACAAAACCACCTCGCTGCCACATCAGTGAGCTAGAAACCAAGACTCAGCATTTCTCCCAGTTTTTCCCAGAATGCTTGGGGGGTAGACGCTGCCCTGTGGTGCGACCACAAAATGTGCATATAACCCCGATACATCCAGGAATAAGGCAGTCATGGCTTCATCCTGCTTCCTGTGCCACACTAAAAGACACTTTTAATGACGAACATGTTCGCTATCCTGTGCTAAAGCAACAAATGATGTAAGAAGGCCTGTAAGTGTCATGATGTCATAATCTATGGAGAATACATTAGTTTAGATGGACAAGCATGCTAATTGCTGGCAATCTTCAACATTTCCATTTCAGTAGGAGCCAAGGCCTAGTTATTAGCACATGGGCTCCAGACATGTTGAGTCACTGCACTCACACAGGAAATGTTTCAGATCTGGCCTGTGTTGTGTTCCGGACACTTTCTCACTCTGTCTTCCTAATTATTTCCTGTCTCCTCTCTGCTGTCTCTTGCCCTGTTTGTATGCTATCCGATAAATAGTCTGCAATACAACAGAAAATAGAGAGGTGTCTCAAATCAAAGTACGCTTAAAGTTGGTGGTATACTTTTTGTAGTGTGTATACTTTTTATAGTGTGTATTCACACTAATATTTCACACAATCTCTTATGCAGTGGAAGAAGTGCTTGTGACAGTTCTCTTTTGATTATTTTAGTTGAAAAAAGTTGATAAATGTGAAGCTGAAACTGAAGTTTTTTTTATATTATGAACGTGAAATGCAGTATTTACATTCAAGGAAATTAATTTAGCTTGATGATGACAATAAAAAAATTGTTAGATGCATGCTTAAAAAAATAATAAAATAAAAATAAAGGTGCATTAAAAAAAATAATAATACCTAAAGAAATATTTAAGTAAATCTAGTAAAATAGAAATAAAGTAATACATTTTGTTATTATCATTGTTATTCTTTTATTTTATTTTATTTTATTTTACATAATTTATTGCATATACTTTTTTATTACATGTATAATTCCTTATTTTTTAAATTATTTTATCGTATATACATTATTTTTATTCATATTTTTAATAATTTAAAAAAATTTCGTTTTAATTATTTTATTTTATTTTATTTTATTTTATTCAGTACATCAACAGCAAACAAATTGGGATTCCTCCTTTCTAAAACAGTAGGAACTACATATTGGTATAATTCTTGTTCTTTCCTCTCTCTCTTTCTCATTTAGTGCTGACCGATCGTCCTCCCCCCATCATCCGGCAGGGTCCAGCTAACCAGACTCTGGGTGTAGACAGTGTGGCTCTTCTGAGATGCCATGCATCTGGAGAACCGGTCCCAACCATCAGCTGGCTGAAGGATGGGGTCAGCCTGCTGGGCAAAGACCCTCGCATGTCCCTGCAGGACCTTGGCAGCCTGCAGATCAAGGGTTTGCGGGTGAGTCTTAACACTTTTATTTATTTATTATCATTGTTATCCTCCTCTCC